AACTAATATTTTCAGGTTGAGTAGAAATAAAAGGAAGGAAAGGGGGAAACAAGGGGAAAAACAAGACAGAATAAATGTGCGTGAAATAAAATATTGAATTAATCTCCCAATTATGCCCTCTAGTTAGAAATGTGGCATAATGTTAAGTACATATGAAAACTACTGGACTTTGACATGTAGAGTTGGTGGCCAAAACAGGCATGAAGGTCAGCCCTAAATTCATAGGCTGAGTGCCAAGTCGCTGAAGGGTACTTTGTCACTACAACTCCATTGAGGGCAATTTGGCCTCCAGTCATGCATTTTACATAATTAACCATGTGGTCAAAATATAATATTAATCACACCCACTTTTTTCAACTCTTACCAATTACATTATAGAATAAATAGATTCTATTCTCATTTCTGAATCCTTAAACATATTCATCAAACACATAGGCTTTTTAAGAATTTTTTTTTTTACTTTAACTTACTGATAATTATTCATGCTTTGATTAGCCTATTGAAAAATCTGAGGAAATTAAGTGTTTAATTATAGGGAATGCCTCAGAAAAATTTAAATATTTTGTATTAACATACACCAAAATATAAAGAGAGTTGAGTCATCTATCATTTGTTGGAAATTTAGATTTCTCCCAGTAACACAGACTCTTTCTCTTGGACTTGATACCTTTTAGTAAAACTGCATGCTAACGGGAACACAAAAGTGAGTGAGAAGGCAGCACTGAAAAGTGAGACGATATTTTTAAGTCCTCTCTCTGTTTTAATGCCCTCTCCACATAAAGTTAAAGCTCCTTCCAGCTGTCACATTCCTGGATTTATTTAGAACATGGCCTGTGATACAGAATGTTTACTCGCTTATTTCCTAAGCCTCATACATCGAGAGCCCTATGACTAATAATCATAATTTAAAAAAGAGGAGTTTCATAAATCACTTTCAAGGCTAGTTTTACAAAAAGAAAAAAAAAAAGCATGGATTCCTGTAGCCCTGACTTTTCCGGCCAAGACACGGAGGGTGTAGATGACAGATGATATGAGCAGGAGGGAAATGACTAGATCCATGAGTCACAGTCAGAGGGGAACAGCCCTGGGGAGTTTCCAAGTCCCATGCAAATGAGATGTGAGTAAGAACTTAGCTCCTAAGGTGTTAACCTTCTGCAAATTCAAGGTCTGCCTGTTGTAGTAGCTCCTGCTACCTACTATGATATCTACAAAACTGGCCCTGTAAATGAAATGCTGTCAAAAACTTAACCTTAAAACAAATTGGCTTCATGATCAGGTGAAGAACAGTGAAAAAAAAAAAATGATCTTAAAGGCTTGGAAATGTGGCAAACATTTGGATAAGACAACTCGGGACATCCATCACCATGAGGTATATGGTTTTCCCATTCAAGTTTCCCTGTTGCAGCATTAAATTGAAAAGAGTGAGGATTGAGTGAGTAGTTAGAAAGAAAGCAAAGACTAAAGGAGATCCAAAGACTGTGACTAAAAGAACTTTATATACAAGATAGGATTTGGACCAAGAGATGAGAAGTTTATTAGGTAGTAGGAGAAAACACAGTGCTACAAAAAATAAACACTGATCCAAGTTTATTTTAAAACACCTTTTTAGGCATCTGCAAGCTATCAAAGTTACAGAGCATTTAGAAATAAGGATACCAGGAATAGGAAACTAGCCGATAGCACTTTGTCCCATTTTTCCTCCTAGAAATCTTTGCAGATTCAGAGGTTCCAGAGGCTCAGAAGGTGACTGCTGCTGCTGCTAAGTCGTTCAGTCGTGTCTGACTCTGTGCGACCCCATAGACGGCAGCCCACCAGGCTCCCCCGTCCCTGGGAGTCTCCAGGCAAGAACGCTGGAGTGGGTTGCCATTTCCTTCTCCAGTGCATGAAAGGAATAGTGAAAGTGAAGTTGCTCGGTCGTGTCCTTAGCGACCCCATGGACTGCAGCCCACCAGGCTCCTCCGTCCGTGGGATTTTCCAGGCAAGAGGACTGGAGTGCGGTGCCATTGCCTTCTCCCAGAAAGTGACAGAAAGGGTCATTTAAGAGACTGAGAAGATGAGAAAAGCTGACAGCAATGATAAAGGGATGGAGGGGCAAAGAACTGGGATTCACAGCAGCTGAGGCAGCCAAGACAGGGGGCAGGATACCAGCAAACAGAAGCATGAGAGGGGAGCTCCATATTTGCATAATGTCTCTTAGGAAGAAGCCGGTTTGCAGTGATTGGCCTACCAGCTGAAAAGTCAGCGAGGAGGTGGTGACCAGTGGACTAAGCAGTTGCCCAGACTGCGGCGGGCTGAAGGAACCGAGGGGCTGTGGGCTGGGGAGACACAGTGTAATCTATCTCTGCCAAGGAAGGCTGGCCTTGGTAAACCACCGTGCAGACCCGAGTCCTACAGACTGAGCACTTCTAAATAGCAGCCAAGCTGGCAGTAATAAATACACTGTGAAAATTTTACTTTGAAATGATGTTATTCTCATGAATTTTTAATTTGAGGAGATTTGCAATATTTCAGATTTTGGACATAAATAATATATCAACTTTTATATGGTACCATTTGAAGTCTTCATAACTGAAATTGTCATAACATATGACTTTATTTAATTGATTATCTGTGTGTTATTTCCCTAGTTGTTACTAAATCCCAAGACTGGTGCCAGATAACAGATATACAAGGTAACTAAGATACCATTCATTTTCTTTAGAGGTTTATAATCTAGCAAAACTAGTAGACATGGAAGTGACATGCTAGAATTATACTATGATAGGAGTAACCATGGGAAGTCTGTGAAGACACACAAGGGGATCAATATCTGAAGTATGTCTGCGAGTCATTACTGCCTTATTCTCCCCTCACAAAGGAAAACAGCAACCTTGAACATCATGCTCCTTAAAGGACTGAATAACAAAATTATTGACATTTATACATAAAAACTTTTCTGAGATACAGTACAGTACAAGTAGTGCTTTGTTTTATGTCGGGTTTATATACAGGGAAGTCTGTTCTGCACTTTTTGATAATGGTTTGGAACATTATCTACAATTTTACTCTAAAACAGTAGAAATGTTAAAAAACTCTCAATTTCTAATACCTGCTGTAAACATTAAGCATGGAGTTTGGCAATGAAAGACTCAAAGACAAAAGCTCCAGAATAAATGTGAAAAAATATTTATGTGTACATATCTCTGTATATCCACATATACATATAGGCTTCCCAGCTGGCTCTGTGGTAAAGTATCTGCCTGCCACTGCAGGAGACTCAGGCTGGGGAAGATCCCCTGGAGGAAGAAACGGCAACCCACTCCAACATTCCTGCATGAAAAATCCCATGGAAAGAGGAACCGGGCAGACTGCAGTCAAGAGGGCCACAGAGTGTCAGACACAATCAAGTGACGGTGCGTGCACACATATATACATACATCTCTATAAGCAAATATACTGTCAGTATGCTTTCTTTGTATATAGATATACATATCTAGATGTATAGATAATTGTTTTATATACCTACAATATAGATAATGTTATGTAGATAAAATATATAATACCTATGTATATTTCTATCTATGTATATATCTAGATATATCTGTATCTATATATATTGCATTATATATTGTCCCCACTTTACAGATCAGAAAATTGAAATGTAAAAGCTAAGTAAGCTTGAGGTAATGAGTGAAAGAAGCAGAATTCCAAGCCAGGCCCACGTAGCACACAGTCCATGATTCAGTGACCTACAACAAGCATGTAATAAAAATTTAAGTCTATGACTTCGGCTTTATCTGCATGTCTCAGCAATGACTAACTCAGGATTAGTGCATGCATACTCAGTGTCCAAGTCTTTACCACCCCATGGACTGCAGCCCGCCAGGCTCTGCTCTCTGTGGAATTCTCCAAGCCAGAATACTGGAGTGGGTTGTTGTGTCTTCCTCCAGGGAATCTTCCTGACCCAGGGTTTGAACTTGTATCTCCTGCATTGCAGGCTGAATCTATAGCTCTGAACTACTGGGGAAGCCCCTAGCTCAGGATAACCACTTATTCCTATTAATTCTCCAGCTGTTTAAATAATCCATGTTTCTTCTGCTCTCCCCAATCTGTGGCATAAAGTAAACTGTAATAGTGTTAACAAGTGATAATTAGTCTGGGTTGGTTCTCAGCTACAAAGTGGTAGAACCTTCAGCCAGCCTGACAGTCCAGTTCCATAAATGGCACGGCTGGCTCTTGAGTATTTGTGAGCACCACAAAGTATTCTCCTCTGCTGCTACTGGACACAGCCCCTGGGTCTCTACCCTAAGGTTTGTCACTGCAACCAGCATCCAGGCAGAAGGTCCAGTACCAGCTGCCTGTGGTCACTGTGGGCTCCCGGCGTGCCCTCTACCCCGGGATCTCTCAATTTCAGATGTGCCCTGTGACACTGCTGAACGAGGAAAACGCCTCTCCATCCCTTTTGGGTAATGAAATAGCAAATACTCTGTTTCCCACATAAGCATGTAGTGACAGCTTGTTTAGCATTTTTAATTTTAATATATGGTCCTATCTTACAGATACCTGGATGTTAGCCATGGAATCTCATTGTGACAAACACACCGAATGACTCACATCAGGTTCTGTTTACAATCGCTGTACCCTCCCCTCTCCAAGACAGCTCGTATTTGAATTTGCATCACCTATGCATGCCTCCACCTCTTCTCCTTAGGAAGAATTTCTTCCTTCACATTTCTTGAAAAATACAGACTGCCTTCTCCCTGAGAGCTCTTCATATGTATTTTATCCAAAAGTTGGTCCTGGGCTTCATTGTTGTCCCTGGGGTCACCTGTTACATTTATTTTTGTTGAGTGGTTTATAGAGAGTCTAGTTAGAGAAAAACTGCTGTAGACCTCTTGAGCCAACTTTCCCATAGCAATTCGCCATGCATTGTGGTTCCTTTTATATAGGTAAGATGATGGCGTTATGATGAGGCAGCTTTGAGCCTGCAGTTGGGTATCTCCACTGAATTGGATAGGACTTCCCTACTGGCTCAGACGGTAAAGCGTCTGCCTACATTGCAGGAGACCCTGGTTCGATCCCTGGGTGGGGAAGATCTTCTGGAGAAGGAAATGGCAACCCACTCCAGTACTCTTGCCTGGAAAATCCCATGGGAGAAGCCTGGTAGGCTACAGTCCATGGGGTCGCAAAGAGTCGGACACGACTGAGCGACTTGACGTCACTTCAGTCCTCTGAGTTGGATATTGTAATGACAAACACCTCGGGCAAGCAAGACCCTCCTCGTGAATACGGCAATGCACCCACTTAGCTCTATAATCCAGTGCCCTTTCAGATTGTGTTTGCATGCAAATGGATGTAACCGGGGCAAACTCTGCCACTTTGATGGACTACATTTCTGATCTGTTGTCGGAAATGTGGTCTCTGACTGACTGAACAAGAATGTCCAGTGCTCTGTACCACAGGATGCTGCAGCATTTCCATTTGATTTCCTCCTGTGAGCAGGCATCAGCAGCAACAGTTTGGATGAGGTTGTGGAAAATCTTCCAGCTGGACATCTTGCTTTTCCTCTCTATTTGAGTCCAGGTAAATCAGAAAGCATCCCTACAAAGCTGAGACATTAAGTGAAACAAGAAGAGAGAAAAACAAATACTCTATAGTATGACTCATAGGTGGAATCTTATACAAAATAGTCAGGGACCATGCTGTTGGGTACACAGTATCTGGTAAAATGTTAAAAAAAAATTCCTTCTATCACATGCGTAAGATCTGAGGATCAGATGTAAACCACACAGAGGAAGAAGATGGCAGAGGAGTGGGTGGATGTGGAGTGCATCTCTCTCCACGGGTACATCAGGAACACACATTCAGACTCACAAGTGCATGCAGAACACCAGCTGAGTGTGTACAGGAGGACCTGACCGGTGGAAAAGAATCCATAGAACCACGCAAAACTCAGTAGGATGAAGAATGGTGGCATTTTTTTGGTTTAGTCACTAACTCGTGTCCAACTCTTGTGACCCCATGGACTATAGCTAGCCAGGCTCCTCTGCCCATGGGATTCTCCAGGAATAATACTGGATTGGGTTACCATTTCCTTCTCCAAGGATGAAGGAAATAAGGGGGAAAATAGGAGTGTTAGCAGAACTATCATGCCCTCAGTGGGTGGGGGAACTGAAGCAGGGGTCTGATCCCCACATCCAGGCAATTGTCTGAATCAGAGGAGGAACATTTAAGGCTGAGAGTGAAACAGATGATCTGTAGCAGACTGAATGGAATGAGGATTATGTATTGCTGCAGCCATACATACCCTGGACAGGAACGCTGGTCCCCTGGAAGGTGCAGCAGCTGGGAGCTAGAGTTTGGGGACTGGAATAATCCCAGGGTGAGGGATGCTGCTGACTGCAGAGAGGCGGATCTAGGGAATGTGAGGGAGGAGATCGTGGTGGGAAACGCCTGTGGAGGAAAGCCAGGCAGCCATGCGAGCAAGGTGACACTGCTGAGTCACGGTAGGGGGTAGAGCCATCACTATAGCCTCTGTCTCCCCACAAGCCAGCATCAGTGGCTGAACAATAGAGAGGCTGGCCCACCAAATGCCTGACACGCTGAACTACAGAGTAAGACCCCACCCAGGGCGCCCCTCTAAGTGCCTGATGCGACAATCTACAGCGTAGGACCCCAGGCAAGGCAGCCCTCTAAGTGTCTGAACGGGCGGAGCAGGAGAAAGACTGGCCAAAGAGGCCTCCTGATCGCCAACTAAGAGGTTTGGAAATAGACTCGGGGAGGGCGTAACTCCTGTGGCAGAGGCAGCCCGCGTCCCTGCACTGTAGGCACCGCCAGGATCCCCGAAAGCCACGCAGCTGCACCATCTTCTTAGTCAACTCTCGCCAGGGCAGAGTTGCCACAGGCAAAAACTGTCCTGTGTCTATGCACGCAGGGTTGCTTCGGTCACGTCCGACTCTGCGACCTTGTAGACTGTGGTCTGCCAGGCTTCTCTGTCAGGGAGAAGAGGGGTCTCCAGGCAAGAATACTGGAGCATATTGGCCAATACCGGTTGCCATAACCTTCTAGAGTTGTATAATCCCTGCTGCCCTAGCTGCCAGCTCCCCTGAGTGCCTGGTGCGGCCAGAACCCCTGCGACCCTAGCAGCTGCACCGCCTCCACACCCGGCCCTCACAGGGCAAACCCCAGCCCTCCAGGGCAGCCTCAGAGCAATCCCCAGTGGACGACCCACACACAGAGGTGGAAATAAAACCGCAGTTGAAATCCAGGGCAGGGTGGCTAAGGAACGGGACCCAAAACCTTCCCACCAGCTGTGCGAGCTACAGGCTAAATCCACACGGTCAATTAGGCAGATGGTGTCTATGGAAAATATAAAAGGCCGCTGAGAGCGCCCACAAAAGAAAGCGCACTCGTTCTGATAGCCGTGGACAGTGGAGGCGAGGACACACAGGAGTGGGGCCGGATGAGTCTCTGAGCTGCCCCCAGAGCAGGTCCAGAGACCAGCACGGTGTCGGAGGGCATCCCAGGGAGGCGAGCTGGACTGGGACCCCCAGCGAGGGAAAGGACTCTGACAGCAGAGACTCAAGAAAAGCATTTATTATTCTTATGTTTTGACTTGTTCTGCAGATTCTTTTGGATTTTTTTCCCTCCCTCGGCTGTAGCTGTCAATTTAATTGGCACTGTGAAATCCAATTAAGCTTTTGAGCTTTTTAGCTTTTTTTTTCTCAGACACATTTTTTTTATTGTTATAAACCTCTGCCTCTATGTTGGACTTTTGCAGTTCTGTGGAGTTTTCCTTTTTCCTTTCTTCTATTTTTTTTTCTTTTCTCTTTTTTATAATTTTAATTTTTTAAGCCTATCATATTTTCCTACATGTATTCTTTTATTTGCCTTTCCTACTGTTTTTTCCCCCTTGCAGTTAATCTTTAATGTATATAAATCTTCTTCATCTACCTCTATTTAACTTTACACATCTGTTCTTTCTTTCTTTCCTTCCCTCTAAACATATCTGTTAGTTTTGTTTTCATTACTTTATTCCCCACTTGACACTTCGCTCTAGTGTTGTTTTCCAGTTTGTGCTTTAATTAGTTTTGTTCTTAACTGGTAAATATAATTTTTGATTTCCTTTGCTTGCTGGGTCAGTCGACTGTACTTTAACTTTGTCAGACTGTTTTTACTTTGCTCATGGGTGTACATGTATTTGTATATAAATATATTCCATTATTTTACTTATTATTTTCCTGGTTTTGTAACTGCCGTTTCTCTGGGGTTCATCTTTGGTTTCTTGTTTTGGGTATTTGCTTTAATCTCACTTAATGCCATAACAAACCACTTGTGGAACCGTCATTCCTGACCAGAGCTCAAGTTCTGAGCCTTTGGAGGGGGAGAACTGACTCTGAGGCCCTAGACTACCAGAGAACTAACCCTAGAGAGTATCAAATAGTGAGAACTCACACGTGAAACCGCTTGAGTACACGACCCAGCATCACCCAACCACCAGTAGCACCCTGTGCAGGACGCCTCATCTAAACAACAAACAAAACCAAAATAGGAGCCCAGTCATCAGCAGACAGGATCACCACCTCACTCAGCCTTACCTATCAGAGGAAAAGCAAACAAATAAACAAAGACTCAGCACAAATCCCACCCTATACCACTGGACCAAACTCAGGAAGGTAGAAACCAAAAGGAAGAAAGAATTCAACCTTCTTTAAGGAAAGAATTCAACTTTCCTTGAAGCCTGGGAAAAGGAGATCTCAAACACTGTAACTTAAAAAAAGAAAAGAATGAAAAGGCAGAGACATACTACACAAATGAAGCAACAAACTAGAAACACAAAAGTCCAAGTAAATGAAGAGGAAATAGGCAAACTACCTGAAAATTCAGAATAATGATAGTGAGATGATCAAAAACCTTTAAAAAAAATGAAAAAAGGGAAGAATCAATTAACAAATACCTCAAAGAATTATAGAATAAACATACAAGCAACACAATTACTGAAACTAAAAATGCTCTAGAAGAAATTAATAGCAGAACATCTGAAGCAGGAGAACAAATTAGTGAGCTGGAAGATAAAGTGGTAGAAATAACTTCTGCAGAGCAGAATAGAATAAAAAGAATGAAAAGAACTGAGTATAGTCTCAGAAACCTCTAAGACAATATCAAACATGCCAACATTTGAATCATAGGGACCCCAGAAGAAGAAGAGAAAAAGAAAGGGTGTGAGAAAGTTTTTGAAGAGAGTATAGTTAAAAATTTCCCCAACATGAAAAAGGAAATATTCAATCAAGTCCAAGAGGCATAAAGAGTCCCATACAGGATAAACCCAGGGAGAAACACACCAAGACACATACTAATCAAACTAACAAAGACTAAACACAAAGAAAGGATATTAAAAGCAGCAAGGGAGAAGCAACAAGTAACATACAAGGGAAACCCCATATGCTTAACAGCTGATCTTTCAGCAGAAACCTGCAGGCCGGAAGGGAATGGCAGGGTATATTTAAAGTACTGAAAGGGAAAAATCTACAACCAAGATTACCTGAAAATGATCTCATTCAAAATTGATAGAGAAATAAAAAGATTTTCAGACAAGTAAAAGTTAAAAGAATTCAGTACCACCAAACCAGCTTTACAACACATTAAAGGGACTTATATAAGCAAGAAATACAAGAGAAAAAAAAATCTACGAAATCAACCCTAAACAATTAAGAAAATGGCAATAGGGACATATATGTCAAAAATGGATTAAATGTTCCAACCAAAAGCCATAGACTGGCTAAATGGATACAAAAATAAGACCCATATATATATTGTCTATGAGAAACCCACTTCAGACCTGAAGACACATGTAGATTTTAAGTGAGAGGATGGAAAAATACATTCCATGCAAATGGAAAACAAAAGGAAGCTGGAATAGTAATCCTCATATCAGACAAAATAGATAGAGATAGAGATAAGATAGAAAGAGATAAAGAAGGACTCTGCATAATGGTCAAGGGATCAATCCAAGAGGAAGACATAACAGTTGTAAATATCTATGTACTCAACACAGGAGCAACTCAGTACATAAGACAAACATTAACAGACATAA